ACCCCCGTTGTATAATGTCAAAAGGCTAATGCAAGAATCGATACAAAAAACTACATTTTACTCAACTCTCTCCATTTACTTGCACTACATTTTATACACTTTTACACATATATTCAAGAGCACCGGTTGGTAATTATTGTACAATCGGATTACGAACAACCCGTCGGATCCCGAACGTTACCGTCCCGCGTCGTTGGGCTACTCCCACGCCCCTTTGAACCGCTCGTTTAGACCGTCCACGTGTCTTAGCGTGTTGGACATTCGCCCACGCAAGCGCGGGTGGGACCGGCATCTGTTGGCGTACTTTTTGGGGACACCTACTAGATTAAACTTGTTGGCTATTTCCTTTCCAAGTATCCCTTTCACACACACGGTTAATCGAATTCCCGACCAGAAATAAGGTAAGGCTGTGACTTATTTTCCACTTTGATAACCAAGTGGCGGCATCTAGTCAAGAAAGTTGGCAACTGCGAGAGAGGAGAGAGGAGGTGGGCGTGGCGGTTGTAAGGGGTAGGGGATTAGCAGCTCACCTAATAAAAAATTTCTATTTTTGAGGCTTTTTCAATTTTCAGTTTAATAAAAATATCACCAAATAATTAATATCCTCAAACGCGTTAATGGGCCGGAAAGTCCAATACTTTCATTCAGGTTGAGTCCTAGAAAGAAAAGCAGGTATTTGTAAATTTTATTGCTTGTTTAATAGAGATTTTGATAATTGATTTTTTGACCGTTAGAGATAAAGCGGATCCTACATATGAGAGAATTATTCAAAAATGATGACTAGAATAGTGAAATAACATTTAAAAAATTGATTTAAAAATTGTACCAAACAAGCACTTAGTATAAGAATTGACATAAATAACACTAAACCAATGTTTTGAAAGGATTAAAACAAGTGTACAACTCTCAAGTGTTGTAAATCAAATAATGTAAATATTCAAGCGAAACGCTAGATAGAATTGAATAATAATGTAAAATTTTAAAATTTTATTCAATTTTATATTTTGAGTTTTGTACACTACGCTTAACAAAATACAAAAATAAATTATTTGATTCAATAAGTTATTTATGAATTCACATGACTTGTTAATTAAAATACAAAAGGTTTAATCCATTAGTGTAGCTATAGTTATCAAATCTGTCAGAGCTAAATCACCGATACGTTGAACTAGTGACTCAATATTTTTTGATATTTTGAAAATAAAATGATTTTAAATTATTTATTCTTGATCACAAAAATAATGACTTTCTCTTTTGATTTTCCAATTATGATTATCAATGTTATAAAAGTATGTTATAAGCTATCCATCCTATGATTATATTTGTTAATAGAGACACTTGAACTAGTATCTATATAGTTTCCTTTTTAAATGAAGTTTGTTTCTAGCGTAGATATAGTGTATTAATATATAAGAGAGGTCGTAAAAAAGGTGGCAATGAGATGAACCAAATCGAACGATTATTTTTTTATAATAAATAGACAAAATATATCCAAAAATACACAATTCTTTTAAGAAAATAATAAAATTATTTTAAAAAAGAAAAAAGAAGAAGGAAGAAAAAATGAGTTGGCCCATAAGCCCAAACGAGGCGGCTTGCTCGTTTGGGCTGGTGAAAGCATGCCATTAGCTAGCTCATTGTGGCCTAATTGTAGAGGGAGACGGCATGGACTTGTTAGGACGGGCCCTAATAATATATTGGACTCTTAGACTCTACGTAGCTGAAGAATTGAGTGGAAATTACAGTAAACTATAGTTTTAAACTTCAAATTTCAAGATAAAGATTTACTAGTTTTCTTTTCAAAAATCAAATAATAAGTGATATTTTAAATATTGATAATTATATTACAAAATATTTAATTCATTCCACCAACCTATACTCAACCACCCTCATAAAACCCTAATTATTTTCATACTCTCTATTACTTCTTTTTTCTATCTATTCCATTGGAAGTTGTCGCTGGGACCCATTGCCGGAAAGCACCACCAACAACATCGTTGATGATCTGTTGTTGCTATTACGTGATCATTTGCTGCTGCGGGTTCCTACTTCGTGCCCCATCCAATATCATTTTTTTTTTTTGTGCCTGACGATTTTCTGTGTTGCTCGATTTGTGGTGTGATGTGTGTACGGTGTGAGATGGTGTGCAGCGTGCGGTACGAGGTGGTGGTGTGCGATGTGCGATGTTGGTGGTGTGCATTGGGGAGAATGTTTGTATCCATTTACTTGGATGGTCATGGTGATGTAGACGATGATGTTTGACGGTGGTGAGGATGGCGTAGATGATGGTGCAAGCGATGGCGTTCGACAGTGGCAAAGATGGTCTAGATGGTGGGTGTAGGCTATTATGTTTGGCGATGGTGGAGATGATGTACATGGTGGTTTTGGGGGTCATAGTGGTTTTGGTGGAGTTTGGGTTGTGGCGGTAGTGATGTTGACGATTTGGTATGATGGTGGTGCAGTGGTTGTGGGTGGGTGGTGGTAATGGTGGTGCTTGTGGTTGTGGTATTTAGGTGGCGGTGGTTTTGTTGGATCCAACGATGGTGGAGGGTATGTTGGATTTGGTGGTGACTGTGATGGCGAAGGGTATGTTGGTGGGGTGGTAGTAGTGGTTTCCATGCATGGTAATGTTGGGGTGGTTTTATTGGCGACGGTGATGGTCATAACGACGATGGTGGTGGTCTAATAGTGGTTTTGGGTGGTGGTGATAGTTTTGGCTACGACGGTTTTTGTGAAGATACGGATGGTAACAGTGGTGAGGTGGTTGTCACAAGTGTTGGTGATGGTTACAAATGATTTGATTGACTGTGACCATTAAATTGGTTAATCTGAAACTAATAAATAATACGTGACCATTGAAAACGATAAATTATGATCAAAAGCTAATGTATGACTTAAAAAATTGTTAATTTGAGGATAATTTGATAATTTGCAACTGTACAATAAGTTGTAACTTATAATATTTGTGATTCGTGACTGATAAATAAATTGTGACTTATAAATTATTGATTTGATATCGATGAACAAATTGTGACATGTAAATTTTTGGAATTGAAACTGTAAATAATTTGTAAAGTATAAAAATTCTGATTTGTGATAAAAAAAAATAATATGTGACTAATTAAATCATTAAATTGTTATCAAATTATACAGATCTGTGATCCTAATATATTTAATCAATAAAATATTTAATTAATTAATTAAATCATAAATAAATTTTAATAAATATCTGATTTTTGAAATTTGAAATCTCTTTTCTTAATTTTGAAATAAGTGATACTTAATCTATTAGAGTGTGTTTGATTGACATGAAAAATATCACCTAAAAAAAATATTTTTCATCTTTTGTGGAAAATAAAACCACCTCTAACCAAGGAAAATGTTTTCCTTAAAAACAAGGAAAATGTTTTCCTTAAAACAAGGAAAATTAGGCATATTTTCAAAAGTTGGAAAATATTTTCCATGAAAAAAATAGCAATCAAATACTCCAAGTAAGAATTTGGGGGGAAAATATCAATTTTCCATTGAAAATAAATGTAATCAAATACACTCTTAGTTATGAATTTTTTCCAAGAATTAACACATAAAGAAGAAAGAGGGAAAACTATTGGGCTACTGGGCTTTATTGTTAAAATATTTGTTGGGCTAAAAACTTCACACAAAAAAGTTTAAGTTCAAACCAGTGTCTAATTTGCGTATGGGGCTTTGATAAACGAATAGGGGCCGTGACATGCCATTGTCACCATAGCAAATCCAGTATGGGTGTTTGAAAAGTGAGTAAATTATAATTTAAGCACAGTCATTTATTAACATAATTTTCAGAAACCGTAATAGTTACCCATTTATTTTCATACATTTTGTAAAATTTCCAATTTATTGTCACTTATTTTTTTCAGTCGCTTCCTAAGCGATTTGAAATATGTCAACATATGAACATTGAAGTTTTCCCAACTTCAATGGGAACCGAATTGCATAAGCATCTTTATTTAATTGTATAATTTAGGGACAAGATTCATATTAAATATAGCCAACTTCCTCGTAGTGAATTGTTAGTTCACTCTATCATTGGCTCTAATACTTTCAATTAAGTTAGTATAAGAATATTCTTATGTAATTTCGAGATTACTTGCTAACTGAAAAGTAATTGATCAAGTTATCAATTCAATACATTCAGAAAAATATGCACATTGTCGGACAAAGAGTATCTCCAATAAAACAATGTAGATTGTTGTACACGTGATAAGTAAAAATGAGGATGGAGAGAAGATCATCTTAAATGGACAACGGGGCTCGAAATTGAGAAAATCATGGATTCTATTTATGAGTAGCATTATTCTTTAATAAAACGTGACATACTTTTTAGATCAATCCATGACTCGATACTCTGGTACTAAGAGCATATCAAAGAGATTCTTTAAACATAAGATACTCTCAATTTTAAAGAGTTAACCCTTAAAATTATGTTTCAATAGATTCTTTAACACATGAAATACACTTTATTTTAAAGAGTTAACCTTTAAAATCATGTTTCAATGAACTCTTTAAATTAACATTTTAATTTGGAGAGTAGATTTGACTTTTCAAATTTGAAAAGTCAAACTCACTCTTTATAATTAAATACACTCAAAGTATTTTAATTTTCAATGTAGAAAAATAATAAAATAATCTAAAGAGAAGTTAGTTAAAATAAAAGATAGAGGAAAATAATAAATATTTTTTCAAAACACTAAAACAAAGTGTTAAAAATAAAGAATTTATTTGAGTAATTTATAAATTTACAAATACTTTTCAATTAATAGAATATCCTCCTCAAAATAGAGAGTCTAACTAAAATACAAAACTGCAAAATTGAAAATTCAGCCTAGACGAAATAAATTGTGTTTATCCTTTCTTATTACTCAAGAATATTCTTTTGTACTTTCGAGGTTTTTGTTGGTTCCTCATTTTAACCGGGATATACATGAAAATGGCCCAAATAGTATATAACCTTTTTCCATTTTAACCCCACTGCAATTTTTATTTTATTTTTCCACGTTTTATTCCGTTTCAGAATTCCAGTACAAAAGCATTACGAAACATTTAATTTCTCCAAACAACAATAATTACTGTAAACCAGTGTGAAACAATTGTAATAAAGGATGAAATTCGGGAAAGAATTTAGTATGCATTTAGAAGAAACCCTACCGGAATGGAGGGACAAGTATTTGTGCTACAAACTCTTGAAGAAGCTCCTCAAGAACATACCTGCCGGCGATTCTACCTTGAATCCTTCGCTGGTGGACGGCGATGATACGGTCCCGATGCTGCCGTTGCATACGCTGCAGGATTGGTTCGTTGGGATTCTCAACGACGAACTCGAGAAGTTCAACGATTTCTACGTCGATAAAGAGGAAGAATTCATCATTCGCTTCCAGGTTTTTTCTTCATATATATGTATATCTGTTATCACATCTACATTCCATATCTTTAATTTATGTAGATATTTTGATAAATTATTGAAGTTTTCTTGATTTGTTAAGGTTATATTGAAAGTTCGTGATTGGGTAAGATGTCTAAATAGATAATTTGCAATTCTTGGCTTTGATTAGTGTTCTGTATTCATTATCAAGCTCTTGAGTAAGTTAATATTTATGGGTTTTTTAAAGCTGGGACTTCGTTCTCATAGCAAAGTTTTATTTTTTTAATTGGGTCTGTTATTTTTCTTCGAGAAAAGAAAACAGAATTCGTGTTTTTGTGTGTGTGAGGGTAGGGAAGAGAAGAATTTACTTTTTCTGAACCGGGATAACTCACAAATTCTCCTCTTCATCGACGCAGAAATTGTTGAGCTTTTCTTATTGCTGCTTTGCTTGTTAGAAGAATGGAGAAATTGTACCTGCAAATTTAGTTGTCATTTGAGTACGAAGACAATCGATCATGAGCAAATAAGTTCATGGAAGCTAAATAGAGTTGAAAAAAATTGGAGAAAAGGACAATTCATGAGGCAATTTGTTCTAAAATTTGATGTTGGTGGAATAGTTGTCGAAAAAGTTGGAGTAGAATAACAATTTAGTGATCATTAATCCTTATGACGTCGTTGTGGAAAAGAATATCCCTGGAATATCTTAATTTGGTTGCTTAGTTAAGGCATAAAAAACTTTTTGAAGAGTGAGCATGTTTGGGTTGGCTTATTTTGAATGTAGATTTGTTGCTTATGTTTAAGATAAGACACACAAGCATAATTTATATATCTTTTAATCGTGAGAACCTCGCCATCTACTTTGTCGACTTGCTAGATTAATGTTGAAAGTGTAAACATCTTTTCTAAGCCATTGAAATCCTTAAGAGAAATCTGAATCAAGCTGGCTCGTGGTTTTCCAGAAAATCTAGACAAAACCCACAACCAGTTTTTTGTCAAAGAGGAATCAGTGTACTTCCTTGCATTCTGATTTATCCATCCAAATTTTTGGCATCAATTTCATCTCTTAAAATCTCGACTGTGGAGTTACATATTTCTGCTTTAGGGTCTTGATTCGTAGTGTAATAGCGGCTGTGAAGAGTTATTACATTAAACTATTAATTTGGTGCAATTTTCTCTGTGTCACTATGTTCATTATCAACAACTGTTATGGCAGGCGCTAAAGGAAAAAATTGATTTAGTAATGGAGAGGGACAGCGAAGATGGAGCGTTTACCTCGGAGACTGAATTTAGCAAAGAGATGATGGAAATTCGTAGGGACTTCGTCACCATTCATGGGGAAATGATTCTGCTAAAAAATTATAGCTCTCTAAATTTGGCAGGTAAATTATATTTCTCTTGAGGATTTTGGATGTTTGATCAGTGTTTAATGAAATGTTACTGCACTTTTCTTTAGGTCTGATTAAGATTCTGAAGAAATATGATAAAAGAACTGGGGGATTGTTGTGCCTGCCTTATACACAGCTCGCACTTCGTCAACCGTTTTTCACAATCGAACCTCTCACGAGATTAGTTATCGAGTGCGAGGCAAATATTGAACTTCTCTTCCCGCTTGAAGCAGAAGTTGTTGAATCTGCTACCAACGAACGCGACAAGACAGGCACAGAGCCTGCTAACGATGTTTCAAATATTTACATGGAGACATCCCCGTCCCTCGAGGAAGCTACAGGTATACATCGAAGCATCCACGCTGCACTGAGAGCCATCCAGGGCCTTAGAAAGGCGAGCTCTACGAGCAATCCCTTATCATTTTCGTCTCTCCGTGGAAGCCAGGATAATGACGGCACGGGTGCTGTAACAGTGGAAAACTCGCCTTGTGACCCTTTAGATGCTTTGGACACTGAGGTGGATGAAGATGAAGATGAAGATGAAGATGAAGATGTTGCCGGCTCCCCAAAATAAAGTGTCTTTTTTTTCTATTTGTGTATTGATGATTTTGAATAATTTTTCAATGGCTAGGAAAGATGAATTTTGCTACTCTTCCATCTCTATATATCCTATATGTAATAAGAGCGGTTTTTAAAGAGTATATTATATTATTTAGAAAGATTTATATATTTAGAGAACTCTTTATATTTAACACTTAATCTTAATATTCCAAAAATAGATTTATTATTTTTATCTATCTTTTATTTTAATTAACTTTTCTTTAGATTATTTTATTATTTTTCAACATTGAAAATTGAAATATTTTAAATGCATTTAATTATAGAGAGTGATTGGACAATCAAACTCACTATCTAAATAAAATGTTAATTTAAAGAGTTTTTTGAAGTATAATTTTAAAGATTGACTCTTTAAAATAGAGAGCATCTCATTCTTAGAGAGTTTCTTGAAGATGCTCTAAGGTGCCTTTGAAATGTAACATGTACGTTGAAGTTCAATTGCATTTTTCTTTAAATCATCTATTGGTTTTTTAGATGCATGTTTATTAAAAGTTTTAGGAAGTAAGTTCACGCGCAAGTGAGCTTAGAGTGCGTGAAACTCATCTATCTCGTACGGCCATTGAGATCATAGCATGTTACACGAAAGCAACAAATTTCTCTATTTCGTCTCTCGAGCTCCAAAGAACCCCACCAATCAAAAAGTTATTTTATAACTTAGCTTCTGTTTGATGAAAGTTAATGACATGTGTATAAAAAAACAGAAGTTCCCCTAAAATATGTAGTTAAAATTTATTTTCACTTTTGATTTAAATTAAAATCTGAATTTTAATTTTTACCAAACATGGACTTAATTTTAATTATGTGGATATTGATTTTGAAAAAGAGAGAAAAAGAAAAAAATCTTGTGACATTTGAAGAAACATTGTGAAAGAACAACAGATTATAATTAAATGCACTTTTAACGAGTACTTAAATTGAGTTTTTACATAAACATGCTTAGTCACTCATTTTCATCACTGCATTTGATTCTCGAAACGCATCCAATCCCTCTCTCGAACCCTTATAATCCCCGAGAAAATCAGAAAACAGCTACGGTAAGATCATGGGTTCAATGGTAATAACGGTGGCGCAGGACGGAAGTGCCGATTTCGCGACGGTGCAGGAAGCAATCGACGCCGTGCCGCTGGGCAACAAGTGCCGGACGATTATTCGATTGACGCCGGGTGTTTACAAGCAACCGGTGTACGTGCCTAAGACCAAGAACTTCATAACCCTCACCGGGTTGCGCCCGGAGGAGACAGTGTTAACGTGGAACAACACCGCCACCCGAATCGACCACCATCAGGTTTTTCTTGTAGCTTATTTGAATTCAATAAGTGAAAATTTTCTATTGGGCTCTAAATTTTTACTGTTTATTTTGGATTCTTGGTGTGAAGGCGTCTAGGGTAATTGGAACTGGGACTTTTGGTTGCGGAAGTACGATTGTGGAAGGAGAGGATTTTATTGCTGAGAACATTACTTTCGAAAATTCAGCTCCCGAGGTTCGAATTTCTCTCCATTTTATAATTTGTGTAGTTTTTTTCTTGAATGTGTCGATTGAACAGTTGAGTTATTATAAAGAAGTGCAGTTATTTATAATCTGATTAACGTGTGATTGTTGAAGTTATTGGTTGTGATAAATCATAGTAGCTTGAGGTCTTGATGTATGTCACATAGTGCTCATTTTAGCTAAAATGCTTGAGAATAATTTCAAGTTGGTAATATATGATGAGTTTATGTATTACTTCTGTAGGGTTCGGGACAGGCCGTGGCTATTAGAGCGACAGCAGACCGTTGTGCGTTCTATAATTGCAGGTTTCTTGGGTGGCAGGTATATAATTGGATCTGTTTTTCTTCTCTTGAACTTTAGTGTTTGTTACTAGTTACTGATATGATTCATTCTAAGGAAGAATGTCATTTAGAATTGATTCAACGGTGGTTTTGGAAATCTTTGAATAAACTTACATTAATGCACTGAATTCCAAAAGTTTAATAAGGAAAAATATTCAATTGTTGTATTTACCGTAAAGATTTTAGTTTTGTTTATTTATACCTGAATTAAAAATATTTCATCCAATGAAATTGGTGGTTATGCAGGATACCTTGTATTTGCATTATGGGAAGCAATATTTGAGAGATTGCTATATTGAAGGAAGTGTAGACTTCATCTTTGGTAACAGCACTGCACTTTTGGAGCATTGTCACATCCACTGCAAATCCGCTGGATTTATAACTGCACAAAGTAGAAAATCTTCTCAAGAGACCACTGGCTATGTATTCTTAAGGTTTGTGATTGACCTTATTTTAGCTCGAGTCTTGACATTTACTATAGTCGATTTGATTTGTCTATGTGGCCAAATTCATTGTGTTGAGTATAAATGGATATTATGAGGGTTTTCAATCAAAAGTAAGATAAGAACCAGGTCATGGTATTAATCCTGAAAAAGATGGATTAGAAGTCATCTAGGATTTTTGTGAACTTCTTCATTTTGGTAATCCAACAGAATCCTCATAATTTGCAACTGAGTGCTACACCAAAAAGTATAGAAGAGGTGCTACAAGTTATTGCCTCCAGGAGTGGCTTTTAATGAGTTGGTCTATGGGATGTCAAACAGAAGACACATATACAACATACTTGGAAGTCATGTTTACAACGTCCTTTCTGCATTCTTGACGAACGAGTCAGGAATGCAATTACTTAGATTTAAGTGGTTTGTTGAGCTTTGAACCTCCCAAAAGAGCAAAATTTTTGACACGCTGTTTCTAAACTCTATATGGTCAAATGAGCAGCATATTTTGACCTGATTTCTTAGGGATCTATGGTCATTACAAGACTGGCATTATTTAATTTTATTTTTTTTCATATTTTCTTGTCTAATTAAACAGTGGTTTCTATGCCTCTGACTGTTCCAGATTGACTAGTGTCATTCATTCTGGCTTCGTCTTGAGAGAAGTTAAGAGCTATTAGATGTTCAATCCACTCAGGATAGCTATTATATTTGGCTTTCTTACTTGCGTCCATTTAATCAATTTGAAGAATATGTGAACTGATTAGTTCTAGCGCTGAATTGTTTTTATGGTGTTAATTCTTCACTTTTTTATTCACTTCTTATTGTAGCTTTATTTTGATGATTCTATAAATGCTTCGGTGATTTTATTTTGAGTTTCACCTTCTGCTATCCATTTGCTGTATTGGCGCAGATGTGTAATTACTGGTAATGGAGGGTCACAATACACACATCTTGGACGGCCATGGGGACCTTTTGGGAGGGTGGTTTTTGCTTACACATATATGGATGCTTGCATTAAGAATGTTGGTTGGAATAATTGGGGAAAGACTGAGAACGAAAGATGTGCTTGCTTTTACGAGTACAAGTAAGTCCTAAAGAATTTTCACAATTCCAAGAAACGGTGTAAAGAAAGAACAAAAACTAAAGTGTGGGACATTTTTAAACTTTAGAACAATCTTTTTAAAAGTACGGCCACTTGTTCATCTACGCTGTTTATCTAAAAGGTTGAACAACATTTTAGGTGTTTTGGTCCCGGCAGTTGCCCCTCAAAACGGGTGACATGGGCCAGAGAACTGATAGATGAAGAAGCAGAACAGTTTGTTGCACATGGTTTCATTGACCCAGATCCACAACGGTCATGGCTGGCCCAGAGAATGGCTGCTAGGATACCATATTCAGCTTAGGAATCACTCTACCAGAAAACAACTGAACTCAGTAAAGTTTATTGGGGAAGATAAGGAGGCACTGTGCACATATTTCCAGCCCGTAACTGAAAATTTGAGTTTCTAAGCATCTTGTGATGTAATAATGCTTGTTCTTTACATTCATAGTACTTGTGGTATGCGATAATACGAGTTTTATATTTGGAATTTTAATTTATAAGCTTCTACCGTTTCAGCAAAAACCTTCGTTTTTGGTTAGTATGGGCATTGAACATGATATATGTAGTGAATCAAAGAATAAATTTTGTTCTTGAGCATTTGAATGGTAGTTTTTTATGACTTCAGCTGCAAAATCTCTCTCGTAATAGTAACCCAACGTTGGTTGATTTTCCTATTGCAGACGAATTTACGTTTCAGGAAAAATTCACAACCTGTCCTCAGAATATTGCATCAACGGCAATGTAGTTCTTAAACTTCAGAAAACGACAGTTTGAAGACTTTACCGCCAAACAATATACAAGTGTGCAAGTCACAAATTTTAGCCACTGATAAGAGCCACATGAGGAAGATAAAGTGCCTAATTCAGGTCTTCACCTCAAATGATCTTCGAGAATCACTCATGGCAAAGGGCAATGTCCACACTCCAAGTCGATCTCAATGATAAAGAAGTGGAGTTCTAGTACCATTTTCCCAAATTCTTATAATTTAAGGGCATTCTCACTAGAAGAATTGGTTCAGCATCCCTTCCTTTTCGCCTCTAATTTTGCTTTAAACATGACCAAAATTGCAGTGCTTACGTCATGTTGGGTGGTGCAGCACGGAGGCTCGCAGAGGCTGATTAAGCTAAGTCCAAAATGGCAATGCATAAGCCATGGCACCCCATCATATATGAAGGTTCTTGAATTATGTGACCTATAAATTTTTACGAAGTTGCAACACCAACCACAAGCCACTATTGTGCAGATTAGATGTGAACTTCAAGGACTAGATGACATGCTTAAGCCGTCTCGGTTTTCCCTTGGTATAAGAATAATGCTACTTGTACATAATGAACTTACATAACGATTTATATACAGATAAGGTATCAAAAAGAGAATGAAGATTTCTTTTCTTTTTCTTTTTAATTTGGTTGAAGAAATTTTGATCCCATCACATCACACATCATATGTATGTAAATCATTATGCAAATCATGTACATGTATAAAAAGTGCAAATCATGTACATGTATAAAAAGTGCCTATATCCTGATGGCAGTGGACCAAGAAGTAGGCTTAAAGTTCAACTACAGATGGCATAAAATTTGTTCTACCTATTATGCTTTCTTTGGTCCCTGAAAATATTCGACGAGATGTCTCAGAATCAGATATCTCATCAGCCCCCATTTATTTCTTTTAGTGCAACCCCATCCCGCCCACCCCAGTAACTCAACAGCGTGTTTTTGTGTCCAGGTCCTAAAAAGATTGGTGGAGAACATGAAGAATAAAGTGAATGGCAGATTGCTTTCCGACTGCAGCGAATTCAAAGTTACAAGGCAATCCAAGATTACAACCATGAAAATCACAATGTTTTTCAAATATGTAGCTTTTTCATAATAAGGGGAAAAAAAGCACCAGAAATCATACTGAACCGTAAACTCACAGAAAGTAAAATATGGAGTTAAGTTGACAACAAGCTCATGTACTTCACAACATCTCCAAACAGACACAGTCCTAGTTACTTGGAAAGTTTAAAATACAATATCACAATAATGACAATGACTAGTACCGTAATTACAGCACCTATAATCCACTTGTTTCTGTTCATCCTCCTTGACATGGAATTTATAATTCTCTTGCTCCTGCTTACATTATCGTCCACACCATGAAGCTGGAATAGGTAAAGATCAACCATAGTAAAGATAGCAAATAAAGATTTCAGATCTAGTAAGTGGACAAAAGTATCAAGGTTCCACAATGTCTGCTGGAGGACTGGGGTTTTCAAACCTCATCAAGACACATTATACTACCTTTTCTTTGGATTAAAGACTACAAAAAACTTTAAAAAATAAAAATAATAATAATCCTTAAATAGAACAAGATGGTGATGAAGTAATACCGTGTTATTTGCATGTGAGAGAGACTGTCGCTGTTGGTGTAGATCTTGAAGAAGTGAGACGCCAAGATCCTCTGTCTCCAGCATGACCTTTCTACTTTCTAGAATCCTGTCACTGGATTTGTTCAATCTTTCAGTTGACACTAACAATCTGTCTCTCTGATTAGCCGATACCTATCAAAGTCATCATTAGTGCCTCAAGGGGAGGGGGTATAGCCAATATTCTAAAATGCAAGCTTCAAGCTTTACAAGCCCGGGCGAGGCGAAGGCGTAAAAATGTGTTTACTTATTTTTACTACTATTTTAAATAATCATTCTAAAAATTATTTAATAATTAAAATAATACATACCAAGCATCTAAAATTATAAAATACTATATTTATTTAATAATTCCTACAATTAGTCAATTATACAAATTTCAATTTTTTGAAATGCAGTTAGACTATTTTTCATAGTTACAACTTTCAATTAGACAAGTCTTACTTGCATATTCATAGAAACTTCATTAATACTTTCAAAGTTTTCAACAAAACAAGATAATAAGTTTCAAAATCATAATTACATAATATATATAGCATCGTAACTTAAATTTGATATGACAAAGTCATTTTTGACTTTTGCACAGATAGTCATTTCAAAATTTGAAACTAAAGTCAAATAAAAGCCTTTTAAAAAAAAGGAAAAAAAAAAAAAAAAACTAAAGTAAGATACAGGTTTTTAAAAACTGGAATAAAAAAAATTAATACAGTAGGCCTAGGCAAAATTAATACAGCACGCCTAGGCAAACGGTCAACTTAGCAATTGACCATTTAATTCGTGCTTAAAAAAATAAAAAATAAAAAAATTAATAAACTAAAGTCAGATACAAGTTTTAAAAAAAAGGAAAAAATAAGAAAAATTAATACAAGCAAATGGTCAACTGTAACTAATTCATGCTGACTGCCAAGGTAAAGTGTTTTTCCCGCATCTCAACGCGCTTTTTAGAAACAATGGTAGCCTATTCCTCTTAATAGTTAAAACACGGTATTACAAGTAAATGATTTATATAATGAGGCTTATGAAATTCCAGAATTTTTTCCTAATCAGTTCCTGATTTTATGTTGATTTGTTTTTCTATTTAAATAAAAGAGTGATTCTCGATTTGTTCCAACTGTAGCTAAAATTAAGGAGATCCAGTGTCAGCTTGTAGTCAGGATTTTCCTAAAAATATTCTAGTTTATTTCTTTGTAAAAATAGAATAAAAATTACAGTTTTCCTCTCTAAAATCTTCATGGTATCAGAGCTTGATCTGTATCCATTAAAATGGTAAAAATCGGAATTTCCAGCCACCTCTTCCTCAATTGAAGTAACTTCCAACTAAGAAGACACCCCTTCCAACATCAATGGCGGATTTGATAGCTTTGTTATGCCTATCACTAGGAATAAGTTGAGTGAAAATAATTACCTCCAATGGAGTCACTCAATCATGCTATTCATCTGCGGGAAGGGAAAAGACGACTTCATAACTGGAGCAAGGCCTACACCTTCGATGGAAGATCCAAAATATAAGGCCTGGAAGTTAGAAAATAGCATAGTGATGTCATGGTTAATCAACTCCATGACCAAAGAAATCGGAGAGGACTTCATGTACTACAAGACCGCTAAGGAAATTTGGGATGCAGCTAAGGAAACCTACTCAGATAATGAAAACACTTCTGAATTATTTGAGATAAAAGGTATCCTAAATGATCTCCGTCAAGGGGAACTTACTGTTACACAGTATTTTAATACTTTAAATAGATATTGGCAACAACTAGACCTTTTTGATGATGCTAAACTTGGCTTTTCAGAATGTAGTCTCAAATACAAAAAGATTGTCGATAGGGAAAGAATTTTTAGATTCTTATTTGGTCTTAATAAAAATCTGGATGAAGAAAAGGAAGTGTCCTAGGAATGAAGCCCATTCCTCCGATCAGAGGTCTTTCCTGAGATCAGAAGAGAGGAAAGCAGAAAGAAGATTATGTTGGGAAACCAAGTCTCACCAAACCTGAGTGAGAGTTCTGCTCTTATGGCAAGCCATGTGAATAATTTGCCGAATGACAACAGTCGACAAAGAAGAGGAGGAAGGCCCTGGTGTGACCACTGCAGGAAGCCCGGACACACCAGGGACACTTGCTAGAAACTACACGGAAAGTCGGCTGACTGGAAATCGAAATAGCTACTGAAAGTCGTGGCTTCATGTCTACTATAGGAGAAAAACCTGCACCAGATACCAACCTTTTCAGCATTGAACAAATTGAGCTACTAAAGAAATTGATTAGTCAACAATCCTCTTCTCTTCCCAATTCCACAGTTTCTGGATCTGTTGCTCAAATAGGTAACTTTTCAACTGTTTTGAGCACTCAAATGGAGAAAAATAGCTCATGGATTGCTGACTCCGGTGCATCAGATCACATGACTGGTAATGCTAATTTGTTTCACAAATATGCCCCAACTTCTGAGAATTTTATGGTTCGAATTGCTGATGGATTATTATCTAAGGTTGTTGGAATAGAATCTGTTATAATTGCAGATAACTTAACTCTAAATTCAGTTCTCGTGGTTCTAAATCTGACTTGCAATCTATTGTCCATTAGAAAGCTTACCAAGGACCTGAAATGTGTCGCTAATTTTTTCTCCGATCATTGTGAATTTCAGGACTTGGAATCAAAGAGCAAGATTGGCAGTGCTAAGGAGCGTGTAGGGCTCTATCTCCTCAAAAGTCCTAATAATCCTAAAGAACAAGCTCAAACTGCAAGTAGTATGCCGCTTTCTGTTTATTAAAATTTGTCTAATAAAAATAGTGCAATCATGTTGTGGCACTATATATTAGGTCATCCCAATTTCTTGTATTTAAAAAGTAAAAACGTTATTTTCCTACATTATTTCATAATAGCAATGCCGAGTTCTTTCAATGTGAAGTGTGTCAACTCTCCAAACGTGAAAAATCACTATCCAATCCAAGGGTACAAAATGTCCCAGCCTTTCTCAATCATTCATAGTAACATATGGGGACCGTCTAGAGTCAAAAATATCACAAGCGCTTGGTGGTTTGTGTTATTTATTGATGATCATACTAGAATAACTTGGATATACCTAATGAAAGAAAAATCAGAGGTTGGCCCTATCTTTAAAAATTTTGCTAGCATGATCCAAACTCAATTTCGAACAAAAATAAAAGTGTTTAGAATCGATAATGTCAAAGACTATTTCAATTCTATACTTGGCTAGTATCTTGATAGGAATGGAATAATTTATCAAAGCTCATGTGTTGACCCAACAAAATGGGTTGGTAGAAAGGAAAAATAGACATATTCTAGAAGTGGCTAGATCTATTATGTTCACTATAAATGTTCCTAAACAATTTTGGGGAGAAGTTGCCGTCACAGCCACATACCTCATTAATAGAATGCTATCAAGAGTTCTAAACTTCCAAACACCTTGTCAAAACCTTCTCCTTTCCTATCTGGATTTGCAAATTACGTCATCCATACCATTAAAAATATTTGGTTGTCAAGCATTTGTACATATTCATGAGCAACACCTAAGCAAACTTGACCCAAAAGCCATCAAATGTCTTTACCTTGGTTGTTACTCTCTCACTAAAAAGGCTACAAATGTTAATTCACCCATCACTAGAAAATTTTATACTTCTATGGATGTTACCTTTTTTGAAAACCAATCATATTCCCCAAAAATTCACATTCAATGGGAGAACTCATCTGTACAAGAATGTAACTTTTTGTTTGATAACAACACCTCTCTATCTAAAGTTGAGCCCAATATCTCCATTCCATCAGAAATCAGATTAAACACCTCTCCATTTGAAGTTGAGCCCAATACCACTATTCCATTAGAAGTCAGACCAAACGCCTCCATCCCATCAAAAGCCGAGCCAATCACCAACTTCACTCCATCGGAAACAGAACAAAATTTGTCCAGTAACCATGAGTCTGTCACCCCATTCCATTCTAAACCTGCAATTGACAAAGAGCTACGTGTTTATTCATGGATTAAAAGACCCAAAAAGGAGATGGAGACCCACACACTTCCTATGGAAAACCATGAATCCAATCTGGTTTCAAATAGTCCAAGTAATATTTCTTATGAAACTGCAACTGATATTAGTGTCAATAATGATCTTGATGTTCCTATTTCAATAAGGAAAGGCGTGAGATCATGTACTCAACATCCTATCTGCAATTTTGTATCTTATGATGGTTTATCACCAGAATATCGAGCATTCGTCACTAATCTGTCCAATGTAGAAATACCACACGGTGTTCATGATGCTCTAGGGAAACCAGAATGGAGGGCTGCTATTGGAGAAGAAATCAATGCTTTAAAAAGAAATGGAACATGGGAACTTTCAAATTTACTAGAAGGGAAACAACCAGTGGGATACAAGTAGATTTTTACTGTCAAGTATAATCCAGATGGGAGTATAAATCGATACAAAGCAAGGCTTGTTGCTAACATATGGCATAGACTACTAAGAGACTTTTGCTTCTGTTGCCAAACTCAATACTGTACGGGTATTACTATCCTTGGCAGCGAATCTAGATTGGCCTCTTCATCAATTGAACATCAAAAATGCTTTTCTCAATGGCTATTTGGAAGATGAAGTGTACATGAAAATTCCACCTGGCTTTGAGATAAAAAATAATGTTAAAAAAGTCTGCAAGCTTCAAAAATCTTTGTATGGTCTCAGGCAATCTCCTAGAGCATGGTTTGACAAGTTCTCAAAACCAATCAAAAAGCATAGGTACTATTAGGGACAATCCGACCATACCCTATTCACAAAATTCTCTTCTAGTGGGAAGATTTCCATCCTCATCGTCTATGTAGAGGACATTAGTGTGACAGGAGATTATACAAAAGGAATAAATTGTTTAAAGGAGGTCCTTGCTAAAGAATTTGACATCAAAGACCTAAGAAAACTTAAATACTTTATAGGCATGGAGGTGGCGCGTTCAAAGAAAGGAATAGTTGTTTCCCAACGTAAGTACATCTTGGATCTATTGAAAGAAACTAGATGTTAGAATGCAAGCCACTGACACTCCTATGGAATCAAATTATAAAATTGGGTTCAAGGAAGAAAGTCCTCCAGTTGACAAAGGAAGATATCAACGACTTGCAAGAAAACTCATCTATCTGTCTCACACAAGACCTAACATAGGTTTTCCAGTTAGTGTTGTAAGCCACTTCATGAACAAACCCAATGAAGAACATCTTGAAGCAGTTCATCGAATCCTTCGATACTTGAAAAGGACTCCTGGTAAAGAACTTTTCTTTCAAAAAGGAACGAGTAAGAAAGTTGATGTCTACTCAGATGCAGATTGGGCAAGTTCCATTACAGAAAGGAGATCAACCACAAGTTATTGCACTTACGTATGGAGTCACTTGGTCACTTGGCATAGCAAAAAGCAATCTGTTGTTTCAACGAGTAGTGCCGAAGCAGAATTTCGGGCATTAACCCAGAGTATATGTGAAGGAATATGGCTAAAAAGATTACCAGACGAGTTAAAAATCTCAACAAAAGAGCCAATAAAGGTGCTCTGTCAAAATTTGGCTGCAATCGGTATTGCTAAATATCCCGTTCATCATGATAGGACTAAGCATGTAGAATTAGACCGTCACTTCATCAAAGAAAAAGCAGACGGATACTAAACTTGGTCTACATATCTACACATCTTCAAGTTGCTAACATTCTGACAAAAGCCCTTCCAAGAATAAAGTTTGAAGAATTTACATCCAAGCTGGAAATGCTTGACATCTATTCCCCAGCTTGAAGGGAGTATGGAATTCCAGAATTTGTTCCTAATCAGCTCCTGATTTTATGTTGATTAGTTTTTTCTATTTAAATAAAAGAGTGATTCTCTCCATTTGTTCCAACTGTAGCTAAAATTAAGGAGATCCAGTGATAGCTTGTAGTTAGGGTTTTCCTATAAATATCCCAGTTTATTTCTTTGTAAAAATAGAAGAAAAATTAGAGTTTTCCTCTCTAAAATCTTCAAGCCTATATCGATGGGCAATAAGCAGGCATATGGGAACATTTTTTTATGTTGAGAGTGGGGAAGGACGGTAAGAAATTGAAAATCAGACCATAAAACTATAGGTCACAACAATTGTACTGGAACACAAGGTTATTGTATAACATAAGTGTGACTCAAAGATATGTTTTATGCAAGCAGATATCCAGAATCAAATGAAAAATTTATTCAGTAAATAAAATCATAAAGTGGAAAACACAGAGTTGAATGCTCTCTACACTTGAGAAACACATAAACTACCACAGTACAATAGGCACTCACAATTCTGAATAATAATATTTCTCTCCAAGAAATAAAATCAAACATGCAAGGAAAAAAGGTTAAACAAAGAAAGTCAGAATACACTAATGCATAACAAAACAAAGAGATGAGTCATAATAATATATACATACAGTTAATGTATCAGCCATCCCTGCCTCCAGCAAATCATCTCGGGCAGCCTGGTTTAGGCTTGCTGATGCAATTCGCTTAATTTCATTTTTTACATTGTTAAGATCGGTTTTATATTCTCTCAGTTTAGCAAGCAGCACTGCTTTAACATTTGGTTGCAAACCACGGGCCTCAACGTCCATTTTCCGAATCTGTCAGATCATCGACCAATTTCAGAAAGAACTCTGAGCAAACAGAAATAAGACAAACAATATCGACATGAGTCGATGCTAACCAGAGCTTCTGCATTATCTACTCCAGTTTTTACTTCAGAGATTTTTTGTTTCTTCTGCTCTGCAAATAAAAGATATTTTTTCTTTCAGATAATCAATTTCCATGATATTGTTAAGGAAAATTTAGAGAGAGATTCAAAAGAACAACAGCAAATGCTTCAGAACCACAAACACGCATCAAATATCATTCAAGATATTTTGCAGTCAGGTCAAGAGTTACTTTGCAGAAGTGCATATAAGGAAAGCGTAAATTTACTTGGAAAAAGAAGTATTCAAGCACATCAAGTCTCCTGCCCTCTCTCTTCCAAATAAACATGCACTCCATAAAGATGTACAGAAATTATTAAGACTTCTCTCAGCCTCCTTTCTAGAGAAAGCAATGATCTAAAATTGCCCGAATACAACACTATAAGAAACTTTTTATTCTCAATTTTCCTTCTCTGAATACATCTCTCTCATACTCGTTATCCACATCATTGGAAGACTTTAGCAAGTAATCAGAGTTAATACATTGACAAATAAACTCTTTAACTATAAGCATGAGCATTAATGACAGTTCCATCTATCCAAGACAAAAAAGAGAAGAAAAGCTTAAAAAGATTTTGCCTAAACGTCGATAGGAAATTGGAAATCAGATTTCTTTCATAGTGCGCCATGTCAAATCTCACACACAAAATCTGGATTTTTTTTTTGCTTCTAGTGTATTTGTGGAGTAGATTCCGAATTTAAATAAGCCAGTGATGAGTTGAACATATTAGCGCTGTTCATTTTCAAATCAAATAGTATTCCAGTTCTGATTCAACAAGATATTTTAACACTTTAAACCTGCAATTTAGAACCAAATATTACAATCATCACCAATACATAATAAACAACAAGATGGGTACAAGAATCGAATATAACCTCCGTCAAGTAGACTGGCCGACGTCAACTTCTTCGATAAATTCGCAGAAAGCTCGCAATATTGGCGTTCGTAACCTTCAAATACCTCGCTCATCGTGATTCTTTCTGTTTATTCTAATTAAATTGAAAGTAATAGAAGAATTAAACTCGAATCGAATGTCAATTGAATAAATAAGAGTGATATGACAAGATAATCAACAATTCAATGTCGCTAATTAGATTAAAAATAAAAATCATTCAAATTAAAAGTGTAAAAAAAATACCTAGATCGGTTTCTGGATTGCTAGCCGAGAGCAGGAGCGAGAGGGATATTCGGTGAAATTCTGATGGACGATCTGATTAGGCTTATTAGCATAAAGTTTCAAATTTTTGCATTTTTTACAAACGTCCTTTCCATCGATTTTTACCCAATTTTCTCAATTAAAAATTATAAAATAACAAATATACCCTCCTTTTAAATAAAATAAAAGAAAAATACAATTATACTCTCAATTTTTTATTAAAAAATTAAATTAAAAAAATCAAAAGAAAAATGAAAAAAATGAAAAATCATCCTCTACTATCCTCCTCTTCCTTTCCCACTCCCACTCGTACTCGTAGCCCCCTTCCCCTTCCTCTTCCCCTCACCACAAAACGAAATCAGAAAATAGAACCCTCATCAACACTAATACTCGAAAAATATTTTTATTGAAATACTTGGCGAAACGATTTCGAGTGAAGACAAATTATGATCAACTTTATGTTCCTCTACTTTTCACTTTTTTGGCTGCCTTTTTAGCTTTTTCTCTCTTTACCATTTGGCAAATTACTTGAATTTTGGCACCTTCATCATTCTCCAGAACTGTCGATCTAGCGCCATCGCAAAAATCCCAATTCACTTGGATCCTTTATATTAGGAAAATTCGAGTGAGCATTATCGTTGTGGAGTCCATAGGCGGTGCAATCATAAGCATAGGTGACAGCCTCGATGGAGTCGTAAGTTCCCAACCAAACTCTCATTCTGTTCTACGAAAGTCTAATTTTCGTAACCCATTTGACACAATGCCCTTGTCTAACACCTCTATACAGCTTTTTCTTGCTTAGGCTGAAATAATTTTGTGCATAAACTTGTTCTTGATGTGGGTTTGGGATGGAAATTTTAGCAGTTGAAGTATTTGGTTCATTATCATGGCAGAATTTTTGGAACAAGTTCCTTTGTCTTAGGTGTACTGGAGCCTAATGGCTCGAAAATAGGGATGGCATTAAGGTTTCATGAACGTTGGTGATGCTACCAAAAATCGTACCTGTAGATTTCTCGAGCTTGATGACTGATGAGGAGTACGAACGTGATCTTCCGATACCTGAAACAAAGGCAACGAGGTGTGTTCTCGTCGCCCCTCCAATGCTTAAGTCAGAAAGGGAAATATATGTGTGAGGCTATGTGCTAAAGAACAATGTAAAACGTACCTTAAGGCTGGGTTTAGGTGGCCCCTTCACCCCTTCTTTATTGCTCTATTGGTCGAGCACTCCATGTGCCCTGGGCAGTTAGTGCCCAACGCTTGGAGGATACTCGTTTATTTTTTTATAGCATGTAGATACTTAGGTATCGAGCCCACCATTAGCCTCAGCAAATTAGTGTTCGAGCTTAAGAAGCATCCTCGATACACTTGTTTTGGATATCTCTCGACGATTGGGGGCTTTAAAGTCCCGAGGATGGCGAGCTCTTTAAAGGGGTGGAGGGAGGGGTGGTTTTATGTTGTAGCCCAAGAACCCGATCTTCCTTTCTGGCCTGATTGGGGAATCCCTGACGCCGAGAAGTTCTGTGAGGGCCAGGTGTATTCGAATGTTTTGGAAGAGCATAGGAGGATGCTGGTCGGGCTCAGCCCCCTTTTCTCGACGATGAAGGAGATTGGGGAAGAGGTTATAGACCTGGCAGATATTAGAGGCGTCGAGGGTAGGGATGTTCCTTTATTATTATTTTTTGAAAAATACCGTGACCTTGTGCTCGTTCTAAAATGTTTGTAAATATTTGCAGGTATGTCTTTTGATCCTCGGGCTCTCCGGAATTTCGTCAGCACAAGGGGAGACGCTCATCCACAGGGGCAGCCCCCTAGGAAGAAAAGCAAGAAGAGGCCTTGAGGGGCTCCTGAGGGTGTGAGGGGGCCTGGCGAAACTTCTCGAGCACACCCACAAGTCTCGACCCCTCTGCAACCAAACCTCAGATCTCCCCACTCCTTGGGTCGTCACTCCTCGGCCTCCTTCTGAAGTGGTCGACCTTGAGGATGACCCGTCTCTTACCGGGGACTTCGAGACTTGCCACCTTGCTCCTGAGCTCGTAAACAAATACAAAGAGGAGGTCAAGCTCGAGGACGGGATGAAAGTCCTCGAGGGCCTTACAGTGAAGGTAATCTTCGAACTTTCGACTTTAGCCTCGAGTTTATTGGTCGAGCTTAATACTTGACATTTTCTTCATTTTTTCCAGATGTTGAGTATAGCTCGAGGACTCTCTCTGCAAGGGCTCGAGGAGGCCAAGAGGGCTGCTGGGGTCGAGACGTCCATGGCCTCTAAGGACAGCAGGATTCAAGACCTCGAGGCACAGGTCGAGGCTTTATTGAAGGAGCGTGATGACGCGAGGAGGGAAGCTGCAAAGGCCAGGGATGACCTGGTTATAGCGAAGGATGAGGTCGAAGGTGCGAGGCTCGAGCTCATCCAGAAGACAGAGGATTTCGGGCGCGAGCTCGCGGCTGTCAGGGAGAGGGCCTGGGAGCAGTTTAAAACCTCCGAAAACTGCGACAAGATAAAAGGGGAGTATGCGTTGGGGGCGTACTTCCATGCTCTGAAAGAAGCCCGGGCCTTCCTCCGTCAGAAGTTGCCCAACGTCACTCCAGACGACCTGAAGACAGTGCCTTCCATTGATGATACATTGGAGCTCTCGGGTTCTTCAGGAGGATCGGGGGGAGATGATGAGGATGGTCTTGAGGACGACGTTGAGATCGACATCAGCAGCCTCGACCCTCCTCTTGGCCACATTGGATGACTTCCCCCACCCCGATCTTTTGTAATTTTTTGTTTAATTTTGACAATGTAATTTGATCAAGGACTATGTATGTTCTAAAGTTAATTTATTGGAACTATTTATCTCGACCCCTTGGACTCCATACGTTCGAGCAAACAAATTGGAAACTAACTGCTCATGCGACATTGAAGTGTTTACTCGAGGATTCCACAACTCGAGCGCATTTAAGGGATTAAAAAGTGACAGACATTCTCGAGGACTGTAATTCTCGAGCACAAATAAAAAATGATGATGTGACATTCTCGAGGACTGCAAACCTCGAGCACAATTAATCTTAAAAATGGTAATGTGCATTCTCGAGGATTGTGTCCTCGAGCACAACTATTTTTTTTTAAAAAAATGAATAGCATTCTCGAGGACTGTAATCCTCGAGCACAACTAAACTTTAAAAAGTTGGGTTGTGCTTTCTTCGAGGAATGTAAACCTCGAGCACATCTAACTTAAAAAGTTGTAATGTGAGATTCTCGAGGGCTGTAATCCTCGAGCACAACTAAATTCAAAAATTGATAATGTGACATTCTCGAGGACTGTAATCCTTGAGCACAACTAAACTTTAAAAAGTTGGGTTGTGCTTTCCTCGAGGAATGTAAACCTCGAGCACATCTAACTTGAAAAGTTGTAATGTGAGATTCTCGAGGGTGTCAAAAATGATGTGGGATTTTTGTATGTCCCTGGGCGATACTATAATGGTTTATGCTTGAGTATATGATCAAGGCTTTTTGTGCTTGCGCAGGGCAAGGCTTTGGTGCTTGCTTGAGGCAAGGCTTTTTTGACTGCTTGCTTAGGGTAAGGCTTTTTGTGCTTGCGCGGGGCAAGGCTTTTTTGAGTGCTTGCTCGGGGCAAGGCTTTTCGTGCTTGCGCGGGGCAAGGCTTTTTTGTGTGCTTGCGCGGGGCAAGGCTTTTTGTGCTTGCTCGGGGCAAGGCTTTTTTGTGGGCTTGCGCGGGGCAAGGGTTTTTTGTGTGCTTGCTTGGGGCAAGGCTTTTTTGTGGGCTTGCGCGGGGCAAGGCTTTTTTGTGTGCTTGCCTGGGGCAAGGCTTTTACTAAAGGGCTGTTATACCTGAAGCTTGAATTTACTAATTTTTCGGACTGGACTTGGATTTATATTGTATCCAAGCTGCCTACGTACCCAAACGGGATCAACCCGAACGTAGTTCATTACAAAAGAGAACGGAAAACATGCATGGGCACGCAGGCCCGCTAAACTAGAAATAAAATGCAGAAAAAGAAAATCTCCTAAAAGGCGTTGGGAATTTTACTTGTAATATATTTTTAGATTGTCGGCATTCCAGGGCCTCGGAAGAGGTCTGCCCGAAGTGTCTCTTAGGTTGTATGCTCCTTTGCGAACCTGTCGTATGACCTCAAAGGGCCCCTCCCAGATGGGCCCGAGCTTCCTTGGGGGGTGGCCTGCTGCTTCGGCCCTCCTCAAGACTAAATCGCCAGCTCTGAACCTCCGAGCCTTGACTTTGCTGTTAAAATGTTTTGCTGTCCTAGTTTGGTAAGAGGCCACTTTTATAGCGGCTTGCTCCCGTACTTCTTCCAAGAGATCAAGATGTTCAGTTGTGTGATCCGAGGTTTCTGGCACGAGCCTCCTATGGCTTGGCAGTCTAATTTCCACTGGGACCATTGCTTCAATGCCATAGGCTCACATAAAAGGGGTTTCTCCTGTGGTTGTCCTATGAGTTGTTCTATACGTCCAAAGTATAGAAGGCAGCTCGTCGGACCAAGAACCCCTTGCATCGGTTATTCTTGTTCGGAGGTCTTGCAATATGATTCGATTTGTTACCTCGGCCAGGCCATTGCTCTGAGGATGCGAAACTGATGTCAGACGGTGATCAATCCCAAGGTTTGAGCAAAAGTTTCTAAACTGTTGGTTGTCAAATTGCCTGCCATTGTCAGTGATGAGGACCTTTGGTATCCCGAACCTGCAAATGATAGACCTCCAAGTGAAGGTTCTTAGCTTGGGCTCCGAAATTGTGGCGAGGGGTTCGGCCTCTACCCATTTTGTGAAGTACTCTACTGCTACAGCAACAAACTTTAATTGACCTCTTGCCACAGGAAAGGGGCCGAGGATGTCAACTCCCCATTGTTCAAACGGGGCCGAACAGTTAATATTGGTGAGATCTTCGGCTGGTGAGTGGATGACATTCCCAAACCTCTGGCACCTATCACATCTTTTAACATATTCTGAGACGTCTTTTTTCATGGTTGGCCAGTAGTATCCATATCGTACGAGTTTAAAGGCCAAGGCCCTGGCTCCTTGATGATTCCCGCACACACCTTCATGAACTTCAGCAAGGGCCTGGGATGATTCTGATGGCCTGAGGCACCTTAGGTATGGAAGAGTAATACTTCTGCGAA